CTGCTGCTTGAAACAGCGCCAAACAGTCTCCACAAATCGACCTCTCCTTTACTAAAAAAACTATTCAAGACGGACGTAGGCTAGTTTATCCTCAGAAGTGATCTTACTGTTAGTATCTATATACTGAGCTTATCCTAATTTTTTTTATACATTAATTTGCTAACGCCCACTCGCTTACCGTTCATTTCCCGACTAAGTTTGTTGTGCAGATTATTGCAGACATATTACATCATTTCTCTTAACAGCATTATAGTTTATATCTTTGGGACTTTATAACGAAGATATAAAAATGTGGGAGGATGTTGAAGACAAGCTGTGATATTTAATAAGCCATATATAGAAGAAGTACATCGACATTCACGTACATACCTAGCATCGCAAATTTTTATAATAGGCAGGAACGAAGGCAAGGCCTAAATACCGAGTACCTGAACTGATGGTCAGGTCAATTCAGACAAGCGGTTTAATGTAGAAAGAACATTATTGGAATGATAAAAAAACAACCTAAAATGGAGCTTTAACGCGGCTCCGACGCAGTGAGTTTCAAGCCATTTACAAGGGTTCAGCTGCTTCGAAACTGACACTCCATTTTTCAATATTTTGGAAGGAACTTCATACAGTATGTTCAGAAGATAATTCCCCAGGGTGCACTTTTTAAAATTTTGTTTTTGCACAAATTTTATGATGAGTTGAAGTGCGCACTTTTTCTGTTCAACTTCGCGATTTTTTTAAAAAGAATCCAGTGAAAAAATGAAAAAGTGGCTCTATAGCACCCTGTGGGGTTATGTTTTCAGCACACTACGAATTTTGTCTACTGTTTCGTGCTGCCAACCCAAGCGTTGCGGCGCAATGCACGGACTAAGAAAGGACGTATTCAGATAATTTGGGGGCCCTATTTCATATAATATCGCATAGATAAGTCGTTCTGCAAATAGGTACTCATAATCGCGATCGCTGACACTCCTCGATTTTAAAGCCGTTTTACTTCCCACGCCAGTGGCGAGGAAGTATTGAAAAATTTTTATATTTTATTTTAGCAACATCCAACAGCCATAGCCAATTACAGGATGGATAAACATGAAAATATAAACAAATGCATGTTGTGGATGTAAGTAGAGAAAGCTAAAACACTGCATAAAAAACCTCAAAACAGAACTGGGAGGAAAAAAAAGCGTTCTAGCTTTACCTACCCAGCACTCAACAATCACACCGGCAAGCATTAACGAAAATAAGCATTAATGTCTCCCCAAGTCGCACAAAACGAAAATATATCTAAAACGCTATTAACTGAATTATAATTACGGCACATTATATATATAGGGGAAAACTTAAGTATGTCAGTCCTAGGCCTGGCCAAGTAAAAAGCTAAACTAGTTCGTGACGCTAATCTAGGAATTAAGAAGTTAAGTTGTTCTAAGATGACACTGGAGTCAATAATGCCGTGGGTGAGCTTGTGAATGAACTTAAGTGAATTCATTTTGCGTCTGCTCTCTAAATTATAGATTTTGTGTCTCGCCATCAACTCACTATGAGGAAAGCCAATAGCGGGATATATATATATATATATATATATATATATATATATATATTTTCAGTGTAACCGGTATTTCTTACAATAAAACCATACGCCTTTGATGCAGCCACAACAGCATTTTCAATGTGATAGGAGAAGTAAAGTTTTCTGTCAAATGTGACTCCCAAGTCATTAATTGTACTAGGTCTGTCAAGTTTCCTGTCACCAATACTATATTCATACATCATTACCCCTTTTTTTAAAGTAAACGATAAAACGTGACACTTAGCAGCATTCAAAACAAGTCTGTTTTCACGACACCAGTTGTCAACCCTTACGATGTTGCGTTGCAAGCGATGACAATCGTCAATGTTGGAGACTCTACAGAAAAGTTTCATATCGTCAGCATATGTAAGAAAATCGACATCGATAACTTCAGAAATATCATTTATGAACATAATAAATAACAGAGGTCCCAAATTAGATCCTTGAGGAACACCGAACATTACAGGGTATTCGCTTGACTTATGTCCATTGCACATAACATATTGTTTCCTATGACATAAATAAGATCTGAAAAATAGCAACAATGCATCTGAAAGACCAAATCTAGATAACTTATTGAGTAGAATGTTATGGTCTAAACTATCAAACGCTTTAGAGAAATCAGTATATATTACATCCGTTTGAAGTTGTCTATCGATTGATTCACAAACATATTGAGTAAGATGTAGCAAGTTAGTAACTGTGGACCTGCCCTTCATGAAACCGTGTTGACTGACGGAGATAGACCTGCTTACATGAAAATATAGCACAGTTTGTATCACTATTTCGAATGTTTTAGCGAAATTACTGATAATTGTGACAGCCCGATAGTTTTCTACATAATTCCTCTCACCTTTTTTAAAAACAGGAGTTACCCTAGACAACTTCCAAATAGATGGAAAGTGATTATTTTTCAGAGAGAGATTGAAAATGATCATGAGTGGATCGCGAAAAATTTCTAAAATGACATCTACATCACGAAAAACTATATCACTCATCATCAACTTCGAAATTACCGCTCGGATTTTAATGAAATTTCCACACGGGGTTACTAGTAGTTTTAGTCCAATGGCAAGGGTGCTATAGGCAAAAAAGAAAAAGTAACAATTGCTGAAACTCCGTTTTTGACGTTACAGGGGTTCCTTATCTTTGACATAAAAAATTGTACTGCTTAAAAAGTGGGGGTTTGGGGGAAGGTGATTCTAAATGTTGCATCTTTGATATCAGTGAAACACGTTCTATTATGAAGAAGCTTCTGGTCCCAGTGATTACAGGAAATTTAAGTAACTAAAATCCGACGAATTATGTGCTCACGATTTGAAAAAATCGGTACCTGCTCTATCGGTTTGACACCAAGAGCCAACAGATCTATCTGCAACTGCCGACAGTAGGGAAGAATGAATTCGGATATCACTCCAGTCAAGTATAGGGGAATTTAGCGTGGAACTTTAAAATTATCGATATGTCAAGGAAATATGTTTTTGAAAACGATAATGGTAGATTTTATATCTGCATTTTCATTTGAATTTCATGACCCGTGAAATGTACCGATTTCGCCGTTACCTTTAATTTGTGTTCTGCGGTTTGTGATGTTTTTCTGGATATAAGCAGGTCATAATTGCCTAAGGTGCTATCAGAGCTTTTTACAAAATGTTGTCTTTGTGCAAGAATTATGGTGGGTTGTGAATGCTTACTGTCGAATTTGTGCTCAACTTCTTGATATTTTAAAAAGATCCTAGTGCATAAAATCGAAAAAGCGGATCGTTAGCACCCTGTGGACTTTGTTTTTAGCACGCTGCAAGAGTTTAATTTGGAAATAATCAAAAATGAGACGTAAGCTGTGAAGTGCAAATCGGTTTTTGGGTAAAATTCGTCTACTGTTTCGTCCTGCCAGTCCAAGCGATGCGACGGTGCGTTCCGACTAAGAAAAAATGTATTCAAATAATTTAATATCTTTAGTAAAGTAAATTCAAGAACTCAAATTCAAATTCGTTTATTCCTGTCAATAAACACAATTATGTTTACAAGGGTCATGTGGTACATGGTAACAATTGAACGAGGGTCATAAAAATATCTTATTCCGTCAAAATAAGAGGAAACAATTAGGTTGTTTTTGCAAAGCAATAAACAGGTAGGCTTATACCTGGATTAAGTACATTTCTTGTCTACTGTAATAGGTAGATGGAGGCGATGCTGCCAGAAATGGATGTGTGCGATCAATAAACAAACCACAAGACTGAACTGCCGTGTCCAATGATTTTTGTATTGCCTTACTAGAAAACTCTGTTGGGTATATGATGGAGTTTACTAGAACTTTACAGCTTGTTGTCTGCCTTCTTCTACAAACTTCACCAAATCGAGACGCTGTCAACCTTATCCTCCGATGAAGGCGCCACAAAGTACAGTCTTGTGATTTGGTGACTTGTTCGATCTTCAAAATCTCGTCGTCACTTTTTTTAAGTTTCCCTAAAAATTCTTGCTCAGCAACCTCCAAATCAATGTCGTTCATGTCAGGTTTTTGACAGAATTCGATATAAAACTATGCATTTTCTTTGGAATTGCTATCCGAATCGTTAGTTATTCGTATATCAGCTTTTTTGGCCTGAGTTTCTTTTCAAGATTCTTGCGTTTGGGTCTTTGTTCCATCTTAGCGATAAGCGAGGTTGGACTAAGCTTAGAACGGAAATTTATTTGGACCACATAGACAGGCCGCTCGGTATTGCGGCTCACTGCAGCTGCAGCACATCTTCGATGGTATGACCTTTTCTTGCAATAATTTATTCGCTTACTCCCCAATGTATTTTGCGATTATAGAGTTGAACTGCTCCACACTATTGTTGACCTCATCATGAATTAAACTCACTGCATTCGTAATTCAAATGGTCGCATATGACCCCTTATTGTCCATTATCAACCTTGATAAAAAAAGGCACTCAAGAACAATCACACCAACAAGAGTACAGCACAACAGTTCAACAACACAATATCGACGAACAGTAACAAGGGGAGAAAAATACTAAATGATCACTTGCTGAGTACCAAAATAGGAAAGGATTTACAGGCTAGATCGCTAATCGAAATCCGACTCTGTTATTATAAAAATTAACCTTGGTATGCACCCGCAGTTACCCTTTCCTCTTTTAAAATAGCGCCGACGAGCGTCTAAGGCCAGCCCACCCTCGTTTCCTTTTCACCTCCCGTTACCTCAGTAGATGGTGCTCGTGATTGTAGGAACCCCGTTAAGATGGTGCTTGCAGTTTCAGAATGTGTAGAACTGCCTGAAGTTCTTATATGTTGAACATATTGTGCTGACTCTGACCGTTTAGAATCAACAAGTCCATCTGGAAGGCTAAAAAGCATTAGAACTCACTGTATGCTAGTCAGAAGATTCAACGATGAGTTTATCTCTATCTCTTATTCCTCATTCGATGTCACATCATCGGAGAAACGTCATGGAGACAACCTGCGATGTCAACCTCCGGCAGGTTCAACATTTTACAACACCACCATAAAATTACCCGTGTCCTTCTTGGTGTTTAAGCGGTGAAATTCCATCCAGGACCATATGTGTGATTATCATAAAGAGAAAATTTATCGTTATCCACTCTCGCGAAGACATCATTCAGGTATTTTTAGGATATGGTAGACGGGAAAATTAGTTTCAAAAAAGAATTCTGGATATTTCTAAAATATCAGCACAAAAATATTGGTCATCAGTGACTAAAATCGACAACAGACAGATTTACGGCATATGTTGGCCCTCTTCAAGTTATAAGCGATTTGAAGTCGAAATAACGCTAAAAAATGCTTAAAAATTATCGTCTCTAATGTTGCCAGGGGTTTTAGACTTTTTGCAACGTCCTTGAAAAGTTTAGGGCTTAGTTCATTTTCATGCATTGCCACGTAATTTTTCGTTTGCTTTTTGAAGATTTATTTAGCATTGACGCTACAATTTCAATGTTTTATAATTATTCGTTTACACATTTTTTTAATCAATTTTCTTTTTAACATTCTTGTCTAGTAAGATTACATCACTATCTTCATAATGATTTTTAATTTCACATTATATTTTTAAATTCGAACTCTGTTTAATATCATTATTCAGTTTATTAAACTCAAATACTCCCTTTTGAAATACAGATTTGCCAATTATGCTACTATTACAATTTTGCAGATGAAAAACTATACTAGTTTCGTAGTGATTATGACTTTAATTTTTTTGAAGTTTCCTAAACGTGGTGGTAATAGGTGGTTTTTTAATTTGACTATGAAAATGAGAACTAAATATTTTTTTTACATTCAACCACTGTAGTATTTATAACATAAGCTTAATCTGAGCATATTGGCTTTTATTTAAAATGGTTGAACAATATAAAAATGTCGAAGTATTATAGTGTTATATAAATTTTTTTAAACATACTGAGATTATGTGAAACTCTATAGAAGTAATTATACAGGGTTTGTCCGGAAAGTAATAGGACTGAGTCGATTTAAAAAAATTTATTGAGCCAATCGTTACAATTCTTTAAAAACTTTTAAAATAGGCTCCTTCTGCGTCGATGCAGCGCTGCCAGCGCCTGTCCTGACTCACCAAGTACAGTCATGGCGCAAGAAAATGAGTCCTATTACTTTCCGGACAATCCCTGTATCTTGTTTGATATTTTTGAAATAATGCTTTTCAAATAATAGTCTACTATCCACATAATTATATACCCAGATATTTGAATGATTCAATTAATCATGAGCCTAATTTTATTATCCCTTAAATGTTTCCCTATTGACATTCATTTTGTTTCATTGGTGTTTAACTTAAGTTTATTAATATTTTGCTAATTCATTTTCTTAATATCACTATATAACAGTTCCTAAGCAGTGTCCAAATGTTTATGTATACGATTTTTTAAAAAGTGCTAAATATTTGTTATAATGCTAAACAAAATTATACTAAGTGACATATAAATCCGAACACCCAGTTTAAATGGTTTTATTTTAATAAAATTTTGTATAAGTACTTAATGAAGCATAATAAGTAAATGATAAAAATTTCAAAATGATTGCACTGCTTTAAAGCCCTTTGACCTTTAATAATGTGTGGATGCACCCTGATGTGCTACGCATTCTCCAACGCGCCTAGGCATGCTTCTGATCAGGTGGTCAATGACCTCCTGTGGTATCTCATTCCAGGCAAATTGAGCAATCTCCTACCCATCATATCCCACGCGTGCTCAATTGGGGATAAGTCGGGAGATCTTGGTGGCCATGGTAACAATGTGACATCATTATGTTGAAAGAAGTCTATTGTGACTCTTACAACATGTGGTCGGGCATTATCTTGTTGGAAAGTTGGATCTGCCAGGGTGTCAAGATAGGGTAAAAGATGGGGTTCTAGAACTTCGTGGATATAACGCTGCGCGTTCATGTTACCTCTGATGAAGATTAAAGGTGACCTGGAACCATAAGCTATAGCACCCCAAACCATAACTCCAACAGTGTGATGAACATGTCTTTCAACAAAAAACTGTGGATTCCTCCTTTCACCACGTCGCCTTCTAACCCTGGCACGACCATCGTGCATGCCTAAACTAAATCGAGACTCGTCACTAAAGACAATAGTGTTCCATTCCTGATCCCAGAGTGACCGTTGTCTGCACCACTCAAGGCGATTACGTCGGTGTTCTCGAGTTAAAGGGAGGACCCAGTGTGGCCGGTATGAAAACAAGCCAAAACTTCTCATTCGTCGGTAAACACTTCGCATGCCAATACTTCTTCCGTGTTCTGCAAACCATTCATTTGCAATGGACCTAGTAGTGGAGAAACGGTCCCTTAAGGCCAATGATCTTAGGCGGCGATCTTCACGGTCTGTTGTTCTACGGCGGCGTCCAGTGCGCCTTGCTCTTTGCGTACGGCCTTCTCGAAGCCATGCCTGACAACACCTAACCACAGTGTCTACACTTCTTTGCACTCTAACTGCAATTGCCCGAAAAGAAAGTCCAGCTTCCCGAAGTCCCACTAAGTTGACGAAATCGTACAGGTCTCCGTACTATAGGCATCGTAACCGATCGTAAAGGATGTCAAGAACCAAAATCCGCCAACGTTGATTCTTTACTGCGGCTGAAATATTCATTTTTAGAGCGTTAGTGAATTAAAAAAAAGCAGTATAAAAACCGGAATGTCCAACTGATAAGGCTGAACATTTTTTCACTTGTAATTTACAGTAAGATAAATACATTCACCAACTTTTATTAAAATAAAACCATCTAAACTGGGTGTTCGGATTTATATGTCACTTAGTATATAATGATTTTAAAACTCCTAATTACAATACCAGATTTAACAACACTACAGCTCCAGATTCATAGTAGACCAAATATGATAGTAATTACTATGGCTCAATTTTTTTTAATGTCCCTCCTCAGTTTAGGAATCTTGACGATAGGACTTTTGAAAAGACTGTACAAACGTACCTGCTAACTAAAGTTTTCTATAATTTAGAATTTTTATAAAATAATTTTAGTGACATGCCATAAGAGACAATTTATTACGTTATTCAGTGTGTTGTGTATTTATTGATTTTTGTCTGTCCATTATTTTTTTTTATTTGTAATTTTGTCTTTATTTATTAATTTGAAGGCAGTTTGTTTTATAACTTAATCTTTTATATTTTTATTGTGTTTTTTACCTATGTGTATATTAAAAGCTACCGTTGTTCATTTTCCTGATTACATTCGAACAATAATTGCCCTAATGTTGTTGTTTCCCATAAAATAGTCATCAAGTCACAATAATAAAGACCATACCCTAAACACGCTTGGCAGCATGGATACAATGAAGAGGTGTGGCTATAGATGCACTTAATACCTCAAATTATTCTAGAGAGCAATATTAATTTACGTTATTTCATGATTCAATGGTTTCATATCACATCTTTTGTTATGTAAGCAACTAGTATAGTCAAAGTTCGACGCGTAGATCGACGATTCCCGACTTCTTAGTTCTTGTGTTTTTTTTGGACGGAATAAATACCAAGTAGGACACGTGATTTCTTGCAGTTTGATCAAAATCCTGCAAGCAAAGATATCATGGAGGCCAACAGTGGTACTAAAATCGGTAACTTGATGGAACCGTCAGAAAATTCAATGGCAGGCGATGCAACTACAAATGACGGCGGTGATCAGAAGAACATGAGTAGTTGTAGCCTGATAGACCATTTAGGAGCGACAAAGTCTTGTTCTATGTTGTCCGGGTTCAGTTCCAATAGTTCTTGCGACGGGTTCGACGCTGAAGGATCTGCACGTAAGGTTAAAAGCTGCGATTACGTATTTGGATTTGGAAGTCATATACACGTGTTTATCAGAAGCGGTTGTTACATAATATGTATCGTTTTTGGTATGCCAGGGTGTTCGGAAGGTTGATCTCTTTAAGAAGTCATATACATTCCGATTGAGCCACATACAGGGTGTCCCAGAAGTCGACGTCAAGCCGAAACCGGGTGATAGGCAAAGTCATAACAGCTATCAGAAAAATATTAAAAAAATTTTTGTGTATGTGTTTTGAAAAATATAGGTCTTTGAAAAAAATATATAAATTTCACACCCTACGGCAGTCTGTCAACTCCTGTTACTACAAATATTAACTTTTTTTGGATTGTATTTTTACAATATAATGATGAATAATGCATCTTCAAACTGGTGTCTCAACCTTACTGCCAACTTTTCTCGTTCAGGAAAAATTGCCACTTATTTCCCAACCAAGTATTCCAAAGTAAAACTTTGCTCAACTTTAACTGGCTGTACTGGAAAAAAATGTACTACGAGAGTTTGGCAAGTAACCTTAAAAGTTCTCGCATTTAATAAGGATTCCAAAATGGTATAACACTTAGAAGATTAGTCGTTAACTTATGCACAATTTTTATTTGAAGAAAAACTGATGAAAATTTTTCAAAATTTCCTAATTAAACAGCGATTATGAAAACGCACAAGGACCCTTAAGAATAACTGCTTGCACAACAGTGGGCGTCAAAATGCTGCTGATGATGATTTACCTTTACAGCAAATGCTCAAACTGTTTTCCTTCAGCCGCAATACACGCTCGACATCTTCTTAAAAAAGATCGGGTTATTAAACGAGCGAATCCACGGTTATTAACAAACTCAGCTGCTTCCAATAGTCTTTGCCGTAGCTCAGCTACATTTTGAATCGGCTTGAAATACACTTTTTCTTTTACAGTTCCCCACTAAAAAAAATCTAACGGATTCAAATCTGGTAAGCGGGCTGGCCACGGTATTGTACCAGACCGCCCTATCCTTCTGCCTGGAAAGTTTTGATCGAGATACTCTCTCACTGAGAGTGCATAGTGCGCTGGGCAGCCATCATGCTGAAACCACATGTCCCTGTAAATACTCAGCGGCACGTCCTCCAATAAATTTTCTAAATGATTTTGCAAAAAACCTAAATAAACCTCAGCAGTCAAAGTCTCTGGGAACTCAAACGGACCGATTATTTTACCATTTAAAATTCCTGTCCAATGGTTTGTCTTGAAGCGATATTGAGATTTATCTTCTCTCATCAAATGTGGGTTTGCTACGTGCCACTCGTGTAAGTTATGAAGGTTCATGTACCCATCTTTCTTAAATGTGGTCTCATCTGACCATAAAATTTTTTCAAAGAACCGTGGATCTTCCCTGTGTCTTTCTAATATTGTGCGACAAAAAGCAACTCGGGGATCATAATCCCGGGGCAGAAGAGCTTGAACACGCTGTACTTGGTATGGATAGAGCACGTTTTTTTACAAGATTCTATGGGCTCTACTTTTGGGCACACCTGTTTTTAAGTTCTATTGCACGCACTGAAGTACTCGGGTCTTCTTCGACAGCTCCTAGCACCACGTCTTCGTAAGGAAGGAAAGATCTTCCCTCACCGTGTGATTGGTTTGGTAGTTGGCCCTCTGAGAACAGTAAGCGGTGCACATTTGTGAACACTCGATGATCTGGATGACGAGCTGCATTCGGGTACTTCTCACAGTAAAGTCTCGCTGCAGCACTAGCGTTGCATCTGCATTCCCCATAAATGAGGTGCATGTTAGCATATTCTTGTACGGTGTACACGGACATAGCGGCACTGCACAATCACACTATCAAAGATAGTCTAAGGAAAGTTTTGAAGAGCAATTAAACAGTCCAAATCCAAATCACAAGCGATCAACAGTCCAGTTCACGAATCCAAAATTAGTAACAATACGAAATCAACTAGCACGAACATGTAAAGATGCGCAGTAAACGAAGGAGTACTGATCGGTATCAAAGTGTGCAATAGCAAGTAAGTGATGTGCTTCATCCATACCACATACAGCTTGTTCAACCTCTCCTGCCCCGGGATTATGAGCCCCGAGTTGCTTTTTGTCGCACAATGTTAGAAAGACACAGGAAAGATCCACAGTTCTTTGAAAAAATTTTATGGTCGGATGAGACCACATTTAAGAAAGATGGGTACATGAACCTGCATAACTTACACGAGTGGCACGTAGCAAACCCACATTTGATGAGAGAAGATAAATCTCAATATCGCTTCAAGATAAACCATTGGACAGGAATTTTAAATGGTAAAATAATCGGTCCGTTTGAGTTCCCAGAGACATTGACTGCTGAAGTTTATTTGGATTTTTTGAAAAATCATGTACAAAATTTATTGGTGGACGTGCCACTGAGTATTTACACTGACATGTGGTTTCAGCATGATGGCTGCCCAGCGCACTATGCACTCTCAGTGAGAGAGTATTTCGATCAAAACTTTCCAGGCAGATGGACAAGGTGGTCTGGTACAATACCGTGGCCAGCCCGATCACCTGATTTGAATCCTTTAGATTTTTTTACTGGTTAACTGTAAAAGAAAAAGTGTATTTCAAGCCGATTCAAAATGTAGCTGAGCTACGGCAAAGACTATTGGAAGCAGCTGAGTTTGTTAATAACCGTGGATTCGCTCGTTTAATAACCCGATCTTTTTTAGGAAGATGTCGAGCGTGTATTGCGGCTGAAGGAAAACAGTTTGAGCATTTGTTGTAAAGGTAAATCATCATCAGCAGCATTTTGACGCCCACTGTTGTGCAAACAGTTATCCTTAAGGGTCCTTGTGCGTTTTCATAATCGCTGTTTAATTAGGAAATTTTGAAAAATTTTCATCAGTTTTTTTTCAAATAAAAATTGTGCATAAATTAACGAATAGTCTTCTAAGTGTTATACCATTTTGGAATCGTTATTAAATGCGCCAACTTTTAAGGTTACTTGCCAAACTCTCGTAGTACATTTTTTTCCAGTACAGCCAGTTAAAGTCGAGCAAAGTTTTACTTTGGAATACTTGGTTGGGAAATAAGTGGCAATTTTTCCTGAACGAGAAAAGTTGGCAGTAAGGTTGAGACACCAGTTTGAAGATGCATTATTCATCATTACGTTGTAAAAATAAAATCCAAAAAAAGTTAATATTTGTAGTAACAGGAGTTGACAGACTGCCGTAGGGTGTGAAATTTCTATATCTTATTCAAAGACCTATAATTTTCAAAACACATACATACAATTTTTTTAAATATTTTTCTGATAGCTGTTATGACTTTGCCTATCACCCGGTTTCGGCTTGACGTCGACTTCTGGGACACCCTGTATACCTTAGTAGGGGGTCGAACTGTTTTTGTGAAATCCTAGAAAAAAGCCAAAATCATGCGTTAAAGCAATGTATTGTATGTTCAATAACCAAGACCAAAAAACTCTATGAGGTAGCGAAACTATTTGGAGTTATGCACTACTCAAAAAAACCAAAATTTTCGCTGATCTTTGATAGGCTGTATTTCTGTGAAAAATGGTCGTATCTGGAAATTAAGAAAAGCATTTTGATGTTTCAAGTTTAAGGTTTTTTTGCCGAAAAATTTCAAGAGCAACGGTTTCATTGATTTTAAAAAAGTCACAAAACGTTGTTTTCTGTCTTGTTTTGGAGCAAAATTTTGTATCAAAAGATCCTGTAATGTGGTTTATGAATGGAAAAATCATTTTTCCTGTGTTGTCACTATTCAATTTTGGAAAAGCAATTAGAAAAAATGTATACTGACCAGGGGCGATCTAGAAAATAGTTTTTGAGGAGGTCTCAAGGGCAGATAGGAATTTGAAAAAAAACTTTCAAGCCCGAGGACTGAACAGAAGGCAAAAAGTTTGCGCTATCTGTTAGAATTGCATGACAACCGTTGCTCCTGAAAATCTTCGACTAAAAAAACCTGAAAACTAGAAGCTTTATGCTTCAAGATGGAGTTTTTAAAATCTGGATACGATCATTTTTCACCAAAATACAGCTTGCGAAAAATCACGGTAAAATTTGGATTTTTTTCGTGATATCTTTTTTGATTAGTATATTATTTCTTATTTCATTTTCTCTTTTTCTTCTATTTATTTACGTGGTTTTTTGTCAACAGATGTGACGGGGTTTCGTTCCCCCCCGGGTGGCGGGGCGCCAAGGGGTCGGTCGATAAAAGAGTTCGAAGAGCAACTGTCCAGCCTCAAGAAGGAGAACTTTGATCTCAAGCTTAGGATATACTTTTTAGAGGAAAAGATGGGCGTCAAGTTCACTTTCGACAGGGACAACATAGTGAAAACGAACGTGGAATTACAGGTGAGTTTGCATACAAATCGTTTTTTCTCAAATGTTAAGATTTAAATTTGTATAATTTTAAAAGTACACGACTTAGATTTTTTGTACTATTTCCATCAAAATACGAACAAAACTATTAAAAACTCAAAATATGTGAATTTCGTAGTACTCCAATTGCTTCTTTGTAGATCACAATGTATGTTTCAACAGTTTTTCAAAATTTTCTCCTAGTGATAAAAATCTGATAAAACCCGTGTCCCCACGATTTTTTTTTCATTTTGAAATGAATTGTAACGCAATAACCTAAGGGTAAATAATTCGTTCCACCAAAATGACAATAACTAGATACATCGTTTGTAAATTCATATTCTCGTTTACAGGTAGAATTAGCAAATTTGAAGAAAGAAGTGCAAGAAAAGCACGAACTGCTGTGTCAGGCAGCTAGAGCTCTAGAATTAGAAGATGATGAACATAAAAAATACATAGCTAGTAAGGAGCAAGAACTGAACATGTGCCAGCAAGAATTGGAAGAGCTCAGACTGCAATTGCAGGTAGGATAATCTTCATTAATTTCGGTTTTGCTATGCAGTCTCGATCCAAAATCAACAATACACTCTAGGAAAAAAAAACACAAGAGTAATTACTTGTAACAAATTGAATTCAAAAAAATGCGCGTTACGAAAAAAAAAACAGTGAGAGAATGTGGACAATACTTAGATAAATCCACATACCAAATTTTAGTCCAGTCCAGTGGAGGGTTTTGAAGATATAAAAAAATGTTTTTTATTTTTAAACTTCAACACTTTCAACATTTTTTTTAATGAATCCCTAGAGGAAAAAATGTTACATAGAAGACCCCCCTTAAAAATGCAGTCCTGTGAATGATGTTTCATTTTTCGTCACGACCTTTGAATCCACTTGGAAAATCTGCATAAACTAAAGGGTTTAAAAATATATTGTATGAGTAACTATGTATAATAAAAGACGTGATATTTTTCTTTCAAGGAAGGAAAGTTTGATTCTGACGGCATGTCAATAAAATCCGATACGACTGGTTTCTACAGCGGCAGAAATTTCAGCAACGGCTACTTGACTTCTGAATTGCTCGAAAAGATCAAAATATTGGAGACGGAGGTATTTTGTAGTTTGGACATAAAGTTGCTTCTTTCTATCCTACTGCACCTTTTGGCATTATTCTGTTGTAGCCTTTTTATTTATCTTTTTCCAAATGCATTGTTCTTTATTTCAGTTGAAAAATTCTTTCAGCGTTTTGGAATAAAAAATTCTGCTGTATCTGTCATTTATAGTCCAGTTCTATACAGGGTGTTTCAGTTTATTGTTGCATGACTTTAAGATTCGATAGAACTTTTAAAATTAATGCATAAAGTCTATATAAACATGGGTCGAAAGATGCGTGGCTTCCGAAATACAGGGTGTTTAAATTTACTTAATAAAATAGTTTTTGTTAATATTTCGAACAATATTTGATGTATAACAGGGAAAATTGGTATACAAGGGTTTTTTGGTACGACAAAACGCTAGATTGGAGAATAAAAATGGCATTTTTATAAAACTTACAAAAAAAAAACAGGTAAAAGAAACTAAATTTCGTGCATTCACAATTGCAAAAAACGTTTCAGGTTTCAACAGACAACAAAACTAACTGTCAACTAATTGACGTTTAACCTTATTCTGCATTCAATTTCAAAAATATTTGCAGGCACAGCCTACTTCTAAAAATTATCGAGATACTGACTTTTTAACGTTATTTTATCATAAATAATTAAAAATGCATCGAACCTTAAAAATCGAAATATCTCAAAAACGGCTAACTATAACGAAAATTCACAATAGAGCTTTTTTATGTTGAAAAGTGCGAAGAATCATTTTTTTTATCAAAAAGCAAAAAATTGCACTAAGAAAAAATGTTCAGCCATTTTAATACACTACAGGTACAGTAGAGAGCGCCCTCTAGCGGCTACAGTAAAACTATGCCCATGCTTCGTTTTGTCGTACCACAAAACCCTTGTATACCAATTTTCACTGTTATACATCAAATATTGTTCGAAATCTTTAAAAAGACTATTTTAGAAAGTAAATTTAAACACCCTGTATTTCGGAAGCCACGCATTTTTCGACCCATGTTTATATAGACTTAATGCATTAATTTTAAAAGTTCTATCGAATCTTAAAGTTATGCAACAATAAACTGAAACACCCTGTATACTATGGTAGAAGTAAAGTACAGTCACACATTTGCATTTTTATTTCACAGGAAAAGATGAGGGTTCGTAAGGGATCTTTTTGGCCTCGGAAATAATCCAAATTTTAAGTTAATCGTATCTATGAACATATGTATTCTAAAATGACATAATTTTTTTATTATCGTAAAAATTGATATACAATAATACCGAGAATTCAACTTTGGTTTTTATTGTAAGCATAATGCCGCAACATTTTAATTTTTGTTTATGTTGTGTGTCTCAAAATGTCGCGGTCAAACCCTTATATAAAAATAAAAAAACGTTGTATAAATTTCAAAATTGAGAACCTCAGGTGATATTATTACAATTATTATTATACTAAAACTGTTCAAATTTCACATATTCGATCAACTTGATTAAAGTTTGAATAATTCCCTGGGCCGAAAGACCCTCTTATGGATTCTTCAACATTCCAATAAATCATTCCAGAAAAAAACTGTTGCCTTATATCTGTATACCTTATATCCCGTATAGAGGATATCTGGTGTGTTTTCGTTCATTTCCCTACCTGAGACCAAGCCTAGACCATGCTGACGAGTTGCCAAAAAGCACGAAACAGCTGTCCACTCTTGGCCGTCTGTGAACAGACGAAAAAAATAAAGATAAAATATTTCAGTTGGCGACTGTACTATCTATCCTACTTTGCACACTTCCGTAGACATTGACATTGGTACTTGGTGCCTGGTAGGTTGTTCTTTTTATTTGGTGGAGGTTTTTTGTTTAATTTTTCATGGTATATATTGTGTAGTCTTCAGAATGCTAATACCAGTGTTTTACATTCGTGTCTTTTTCAGTTACATTTAGAAAAAGAAAACAACGCGGCGCTTCAGCTGCTGGTAGGGCAAATAGAGAGTATTAAGAATAGGAACGAGAATTTAACAAAGGAGTTGAGAGAAAAAGAATCCATCATAAAACATCTCCACGATGAATTGGAATCTGCAAATGAACGGATCATCGATTTTGCCAGGCAGCTGAAAAACTTCGAAGATCTTCAGATACACTTAGAAACATATAAAAAGAAGTACAATTTGGCAAGGGTATGTTATTTAAATTTTTTGCATGTTTATTTTCTAAGTGTTTTGGTGGATGATTTTTTAACTTGAATATGAAAATGAAAACCAAATAGGCTATGAAATTTTTGATATTCAACCGTTGTAGTTCTTTCAGCATAAAATTTATTCTAGTAAATTTATTTTTATTTGAGATGATTCTCATAGCTTTATTTTGTAATATTTGTAATTTTGAAAATACAGTTTAATTTGCAGTGAACAAAAATAGTCGAACAATATAACAAATGAGGAAGAATGATAGTGTTGTACACAATTTTTTTAGAATAAACGCTTATGCTATGCGAAATTCTATAAAAGTAATTCATTTTCTTGGATATTTTTGAAATAATATATTCATAGTGCCCTTCAAATTTTAATTTACTGTCTACGTATATGCAGAAATATTTAAATGATTCGATTGACACAATTTTTTCATGATTAATTGTAAGATTTATCGTATTTTGATCTAAAGATTTTCCTATTAGCATATATTTTGTTTTGTGTAGCTTAAGTTTATTCACATTTAACCAATTTATTACTTTTTTCATATCATTATTTAACAGCTCTATTGCAGTTTCAATATCTTTATTTGATGTATATATATATATATATATAAATGTATCATCAGCAAATAGTTGAATTTTGCTGTGTTGTAAAATACCAGGAATAAATAATAAAATAAATAGTATTGGACCTAATTTGCTACCCTGTGGCACACCTACCGAAATGTTTGATAATGTATTGCCAATTTTAGTCCTTTGACTTCTATTGATTAAATAATTTTGCAATAAGTTGAATACTGAACCTTGACATCCATAGCAATGCAATTTCGTTAACAATTTCTCGCTGTCAATAGTCGTCTCAAATGCTCTCTTGAAATCTAAGAATAATGTTACTGTAAACTTTTTCATCCATAGTTCGCTTCCATTCTTCTACTACCACTTGAATTGCTGCTTCAGTAGAATACTTTTTTGTGAATCCTGTTTGAAATTTTGTCAGTATCTTATTTTCTTCAATATCTCCATCACACACGTCACTCATTTCTGTCTGTCTGTCCACTAATCTTTGGCCGGTCCATACCGCTCGTATTTTGATGAAATTTTCGAACAACGTAACTACTTTGCAGTGTTTTATTCCTGACTGTTGATATCAATTTTTTTATAAGTTATAAGTTTATTTATTTAAACATTTACTAGAGTACGATTTTTTGGCTACTTTAAACGCACATGCGAGTTTCTAAACGGAAAAAAATGTGTGTTCTTTTCCTTAGCAAGCTTTTTTTTGAAGTATTCTGTACTCTTTGCAGTTTTTTATTCCTGACTGTTGATATCAATTTTTTTTATTCAAGTTATAAGTTCATTTATTTAAACATTTACTAGATTACGATTTTTTGGCTACTTTAAACGCACATGCGAGTTTCTAAACGGAAAAAAAATTGTGTTCTTTTCCTTAGCAAGGTTTTTTTTTGAAGTCTTCTGTACTCTTTGCAGTTTTTTATTCCTGACTGTTGATATCAATTTTTTTTATCCAAGTTATAAGTTCATTTATTTAAACATTTACTAGAATACGATTTTTTGGCTACTTTAAACGCACATGCGAGTTTCTAAACGAAAAAAAATCTGGGTTCTGTTTCTTAGCAAGCTTTTTCTGAAGGTACTCTTTGCAGTTTTTTATTCCTGACTGTTGATATGAATTATTTTTTTTTGTTCAAGTTGTAAATTCATTTATTTAAACATTTACTAGAACACGATTTTTTGGCTACTTTAAACGCACATGCGAGTTTCTAAACGGAAAAAAATTTGTGTTCTGTTCCTTAGCAAGCTTTTTTTTTTGAAGTCTTCTGTACTCCTTGCAGTTTTTTATTCCTGAATGTTGATATGAATTATTTTTTTTATTCAAGTTGTAAATTCATTTATTTAAACATTTACTAGATTTTTACACATTTACTACGATTTACTACGATTTTTTTGCTACTTTAAACGCACATGCGAGTTTCTAAATGGAAAAAATTGTGTTCTTTTCCTTACAAGCTTTTTTTTTGAAGTCTTATGTACTCTTTGCAGTTTTTTATTCCTGACTGTTGATATCAATTTTTTTTTATTCAAGTTATAAGTTCATTTAATTAAACATTTACTAGAATACGATTTCTTGGCTACTTTAAACACACATGCGAGTTTCTAAACGGAAAAAAAATTGTGTTCTGTTCCTTAGCAAGCTTTTTTTTTGAAGTCTTCTGTACTCTTTGCAGTTTTTTATTCCTGACTGTTGATATGAATTATTTTTTTTATTCAAGTTGTAAATTCATTTATTTAAACATTTACTAGAATACGATTTTTTGCCTACTTTAACGCACATGCGAGTTTATCATCGGAAAAAAAATTGTGTTCTTTTCCCAAGCTTTTTTTGAAGGCACTCTTTGCAGTTTTTTATTCCTGACTGTTGATATGAATTATTTTTTTTATTCAAGTTGTAAATTCATTTATTTAAACATTTACTAAAATACGATTTTTTTGGCTACTTTAAACGCACATGCGAGTTTCTAAACGGAAAAAAAAATGTGTTCTTTTCCTTAGCAAGCTTTTTTTGAAGGTACTCTTTGCAGTTTTTGATTCCTGACTGTTGATATGAATTATTTTTTTTATTCAAGTTGTAAATTCATTTATTTAAACATTTACTAGAACACGATTTTTTGGCTACTTTAAACGCACATGCGAGTCTCTAAACGGAAAAAAATTTGTGTTCTGTTCCCTAGCAAGCTTTTTTTTGAAGTCTTCTGTACTCTTTGCAGTTTCTTATTCCTGAATGTTGATATGAATTATTTTTTTATTCAAGTTGTAAATTCATTTATTTAAACATTTACTAGAATACGATTTTTTGGCTACTTTAAACGCACTTGCGAGTTTCTAAACGGAAAAAAAAATGTGTTCTTTTCCTTAGCAAGCTTTTTTTTTGAAGTCTTCTGTACTCTTTGCAGTTTTTTATTCCTGACTGTTGATATCAATTTTTTTTATCCAAGTTATAAGTTCATTTATTTAAACATTTACTAGAACACGATTTTTTGGCTACTTTAAACGCACATGCGAGTCTCTAAACGGAAAAAAAATTGTGTTCTGTTCCCTAGCAAGCTTTTTTTTGAAGTCTTCTGTACTCTTTGCAGTTTTTTATTCCTGAATGTTGATATGAATTATTTTTTTATTCAAGTTGTAAATTCATTTATTTAAACATTTACTAGAATACGATTTTTTGGCTACTTTAAACGCACATGCGAGTTTCTAAACGGAAAAAAAATTGTGTTCTTTTCCTTAGCAAGTTTTTTTTTTGGAGTCTTCTGTACTCTTTGCAGTTTTTTATTCCTGACTGTTGATATCAATTTTTTTTTATCCAAGTTATAAGTTCATTTATTTAAACATTTACTAGAATACGATTTTTTGGCTACTTTAAACGCACATGCGAGTTTCTAAACGAAAAAAAATCTGGGTTCTGTTTCTTAGCAAGCTTTTTTTTGAAGTCTTCTGTACTCTTTGCAGTTTTTTATTTCTGACTGTTGATATGAATTATTTTTATTCATGTTGTAAATTCATTTATTTAAACATTTACTAGAATACGATTTTTTTGCTACTTTAAACGTACATGCGAGTTTCTAAACGGAAAAAAATTTGTGTTCTGTTCCTTAGCAAGCTTTTTTTTGAAGTCTTCTGTACTCTTTGCAGTTTTTTATTCCTGACTGTTGATATGAATTATTATTTTTATTCAAGTTGTAAATTCATTTATTTAAACATTTACTAGAACACGATTTTTTTTGGCTACTTTAAACGCACATGCGAATTTCTAAACGGAAAAAAATGTGTTCTGTTCCTTAGCAACCTTTTTTTGAAGTCTTCTGTACTCTTTGCAGTTTTTTATTCCTGACTGTTGATATGAATGATTTTTTTTATTCAAGTTGTAAATTCATTTATTTAAACATATACTAGAATACGATTTTTTGGCTAGTTTAAACGCACATGCGAGTTTCTAATCGGAAAAAAATTGTGTTCTTTTCCCAAGCTTTTTTGAAGGTACTCTTTGCAGTTTTTTATTCCTGACTGATGATATGAATTATTTTTTTTATTCAAGTTGTAAATTCATTTATTTATTTTTTTATTTATTTACTAGAACACGATTTTTTGGCTACTTTAAACGCACATGTGAGTTTCTAAACGGAAAAAAATTGTGTTCTGTTCCTTAGCAAGCTTTTTTTGAAGCCTTCTGACTCTGCAGTTTTTTATTCCTGAATGTTGATATGAATGATTTTTTTTATTCAAGTTGTAAATTCATTTATTTAAACATTTACTAGAATACGATTTTTTGGCTAGTTTAAACGCACATGCGAGTTTCTAAACGGAAAAAATTGTGTTCTTTTCCTTAGCAAGCTTTTTTTGAAGGTACTCTTTGCAGTTTTTTATTCCTGACTGTTGATATGAATTATTTTTTTTATTGAAGTTGTAAATTCATTTATTTAAACATTTACTAGAACCCCATTTTTTTGGCTACTTTAAACGCTCATGCGAGTTTCTAAACGGAAAAAAATGTGTGTTCTGTTCCTTAGCAAGCTTTTTTTTTAAGCCTTCTGACTCTTTGCAGTTTTTTATTCCTGAATGTTGATATGAATGATTTTTTTTATTCAGGTTATAAGTTCATTTATTTAAACATTTACTAGAATACGATTTTTTGGCTACTTTAAACGCACATGCGAGTTTCTAAACCGAAAAAAATTTGGGTTCTGTTCCTTAGCAAGCTTTTTTTGAAGTCTTCTGTACTCTTTGCAGTTTTTTATTCCTGACTGTTGATATGAATTATTTTTTTATTCATGTTGTAAATTCATTTATTTAAACATTTACTAGAATACGATTTTTTTGCTACTTTAAACGCACATGCGCTTTTCTAAACGGAAAAAGTTGTGTTCTTTTCCTTAGAAAGCTTTTTTTTAAGTCTTAATAGGTTCATCCTATCATTATTTCTGTTGAAGTCTATTTCCACCTAGGACTATAGTAACTTGATATCAACGGTCTGGCATTCAAAACTGCAAAGTTGCTATAGTCCTGGGTGAAAAGGAACCTCAATAGAAATAATGATAGGTTGAAGCTATTAAGACGATACGAAAGATTTTAAAAAAAAACTTGGTGAGAACAGAAAAATTTGTCGGTTCTAGAATTTCACCTTTACCTAAGAAAGGCGTTTAAAGTCGCCGAAACGTAGTATTTTAAAGTTGATGGAATCATGAAATCATTTGCATGGTCCGAGGAAAGAAATTTCTTAAGCTCTGTATGTACATCAGAATGAAAATGATGGCAGCGTTACATGGGACCTGTATAGTCAACCTACTTGACGTCATTTTTTTATCTGTCGCAGGCCGACCTGGAGCGTACCGAAAAAATGGCCGAACGATCCAAGGCGAGCCGCGACGTTCGCATAACCGAGCTGGAAGCCGAGGTCCAAACGCAGCGGGCCCATTCACAACGTCTACAAAGGGAGCTGGAGCAGGCCAGGAGCGAGATCCACAGGAATCAGAACATCGCGGTGGATAACGATGACAGGGGTTCGTATTCTGTAACTTTGCCTTCGAACGATCGTCCGCCATTTTTAATCGGCAAAGAGTTGAGTGGTCACGTGATATCCACGCGCATTGCGGTCATTGTATGATGACATAGTTGCTTTTGTTGAGGCTAGGTGGCGCTGCGCGCGGCCTTTCAGTGAGACCAGCATTTGAGTTGTATATCGAACATTTCAAGGCATGAAATATATTTGTTTTTCGTCAAAAAGTAGTGACGCTAATTCCGTTTTTTAACACTTGCAAAAGTTATTATATGCGCCCAGGATTGAGTGAGAATAATTTTATTTTTTTCGTGGTTCTATTCTTTGACGTTTCCTTGATAGAAGTCTCGCCCCCAATTCTCTTGATAAATAGCAATTTCAACTTCAAAGACTTGAGTTTATTTTGTGATGAAACATTAAATTATACGGAAAACCTAGGTTAAATTTTGTCAAAAAGCAATGCATTTACAATGTTGCCCATTTCGTTTTTGTTGTTTTGTTCATTCGTTTTCAAGAAATGGCCTCCTGCAACTCTTTTGTTTTAAACGAGAAAGGATGACCTCAAATTGAAACATCTGTTGACATTATCAGACAGGTTTGTAAATGCATCGATTTTCATCAAAAAATGGGGTTCTTCGTATGATTGAATGTCGCAAAGTTTCTAGTCTTTAGAGACTTACGGACGACGACAAGGCTGACGTAACTTTTTCTCCCAAGATTGATTCCACTAGTTTACACGAAAAATGTACCTCGACAAAAAGTTGTCTTTTAAACTAATTTGAGATCGCTGAAAACGAAAATGACTTATTTTTCCAAATAACCGTTCACGAGATTTTTGCAAAAAACGTGTTTTGCAGAACCTGAAATTTCGGAAACGGTAAGCTTTTTTGGATGTGTGTAACTTTTAAAAGCCACACATTATTTTTTAAGCTTTCTTGAAAATTATCGAAGTTTATTGACTTTTTTCGGACATTTTTTTTATACCAGCATAAATTATGTAAGCTTAAAGATAATTATGTCACCTACATAACAAGTCCAAGTTTGTCTGAATCGGACGAAAAATGTGATAATATGCGATTTTATAGTGTTTGACACAGTTATTACACTTAGGGTCTGATATACGCTTTCACTCTCAAACTTTTTCTCTTATGTTGCGTGGAATCTTCACGAAGTTTCATCCAGCAATAGTCGCTCATCATGTCTTGATCCCAAAAGCACTCAACGTTTTTCAATTGCAGCAATCGCTTGCCTTGTTGATCACTTTCAGCACCCAAATTCGGTGGGGAAAAATCCAAATGACTGTGATATAGGTGTATTTCCAAAGACATGCGAGAACATGTAAGCATAAAAAAGTTGAATGTTATTTTTTATAATTTTTAATTAAATTAATATGATTAATATATTTTGAAGTATGTACGTATTTCAATACTAACGTTCTTGCTCCTGTTGTCTCCCAAGAATCCATGAACAACTTTTTGCAAGCTCCTCAAGGTTTAGCTTCGGAATTGTTCAAGCATTGTTGAAACTCTGCGCCAGTAAACAATTTTACAAACTGTGGACCGACGAATGTACCTGCTTTGATTTTCTCTGCTGACAGTTTTGGAAACTTGGTTTTCAAGTATTTTAGAACTGTGTTTTCGGATTTTTCGCCAAAGCTTTGACAGAATTTTTCATAAGCCCAAGTTTTATTATATGCAATGGGGGAAAATGTTTGTCCACAAGTGCTTCCTTAATAACGTTGCTTTTTCCCACGACATGTTTCACACGGTTCGGCCAATCAGGTGTAGTGAAATCTTTTTCATCTGCTCAGCTATCCCAAAGTCATAAAAAACAACTGTATTTTGTATAGCCACCCTGCAGAAGACAAGTTATAACTGCACTAGGGCACAAAAAACACACGTTTTTTGCAAAAATCTTAAGAACGGTTCTTTAGAAAAATAAAAAAGAATGTTCGTTTTCAGCGTCTAAAACACTTCTTTTCGTTGTAGTACATTTTTGAAAGCAAAAATTTGTAAACTGGTGTTCGGGGCGCGATTATACAGTTTCCCCTTTCTCTCGTATATTCTTCACCCTCTTAAGAATTTGGGGCCAGATGGCATGAGCTTCGTTCCAGCAAAATGTTCAGTTCATGATCAGGTAGAATATGTCAATTAGTGCCATAACGCACAGTACGTTAGATACCACGTCAGCATGACTGCCTTTTTTCAAAAATCATACTACCCATTGTATGAATCCGAGCATTTTTATTTGTTTTTCACAGTGTAGGATCATACCTAAAGTTTTGTTTTATATAGTTTTCAAGATCAAATCAAATAGGTGACGTCCCCCATTCTCCATACGCGCAGTAAACCGATTTCTGACGTGTGTCATGTTTCTTGCCAGCATAGCAGGCGTTGTGTTAGCAATTCCTGGATGTTGGTCTTCCAATCTTCACATAAGCTCGGAAAAAACATCAATCGAAAAAAACACAAGGTGCCAAATCGGGAGAGCGTGCCGGTCACTCCAAATCGTCTCCAATTGCCTCCCTCAAACCAGACGTCGATCCGAAGCTGAATATGAAAAGAAAAGCGCACGAGTGTAGAGACATTCCGATGAAAAATGGCGAACTTTCCTTCGAAGTCGGAGAGGTTCGGATTTACAGAATACGAACCATGTTTAGCGAGCAACAGGCGACCACTCACCGGTATCGATTTTATTTTAGTTTCGAACGCAACAGCACGTCAACGAGCTCAGGAAGCGGACGTACCATATGTACAAGTAGAAAGAAGCGATAGCGGTAGTAGCGGTTCTGGCCACAAGCGGTCGGCCGCGGCTGCAGGAGGGTCCAGGCAAGGTGGCAGCAGCGTTGAGGACGAATCGTGCCAGGTAATGACAACTAGTTTTTAGCAAAGATAGAATCGACAGTTTACTCGTTAAATTAAATATCAAAACATTTGGTTTTACTGTTTCAGTCTTATTTGTTCGGTCGCAAACTATATGCGGGTTTGAATGGTGGAGAATCATTTCTTTTTTTTCCACGGATGTGTTCTTCAAGCATCTTCTTTAGGTCCACTACTATTCATTATTTTTATCGGATATTTTGCTTTGCGCAGATTTGTTTGTTTGTTTCAGATTTATTTAGCATTAATGCTACAATATCCATAATATATCACAAAATATATTATGTCTTCAAGACTACATATTTTTATACAAAATTTCACTACTATGCATTTTCCATATTTTCAATTTCCCTTTGAACATTTTCTAACTGACCTACATCTTAATATCATTACTTAATTTATTAAATTCGTACAATCCCTTTTGAAATACTGACTGCTCGTTATATTGCTACTGCAGTTTTGTAAATGAAAGTCTATACTTCCTCTAGTAGAATAATTGTGGCACTATATATATATATATATATATAGCAATATAACAGAGGAAGAATGATAGTGTTGTACACAATTTTTTTAGAATAAACGCTGTGCGTAATTCTATAAAAGTAATTTATTTTCTTGGATAATTTTTGAAATCATATATTCATAGTGCCCTTCAAATTTTAATTTACCGTCTACGTATATGCCCAAATAGTTAAATGATTCGAGTGACACAATTTTTTCATGATTAATTGTAAGATTTATCGTAGTTTGATCTAAAGATTTTCCGATTAGCATATATTTTGTTTTGTTTGTTTATTTACATTTAACCAATTTATTACGTTTTTCATATCATTATTTAACAGCTCTATTGCAGTTTCAATGTATTTATTTGATATATATATATATATATATATATATATATATATATATATATATATTTACATCTCCATGTGGATCGGTAATCCTTTCAATTCCCAGCAATAAGTCACCTACCAGAAATATCGAATATATATCAAATTTGATTCGTGTATATCCAACAAAAAGGCAAACTGATCCAGGATCAGCTCAAAAAACTGTACATTAACATTTCGGATTTTCATATAAAGTCCGCTATATAGGTCTACCTTTTAAAAACCGTAAGATGTGTCCTCTACCGGAATACCCTTCAGATCACAAAACGGCATTCGGTCCCCCAGAATACTCAAATTAACTAAACACCAGTAGATAAGTCATCCGTGCAGTGGTGCCAAGTTTCATTTATTTCTCTTTACATAATACTACTGAAGTCTCCTAACTTGGACTTGTATTATTATATTATTTTTCAAGGATCTCCAATGGATATAACCAAAATTCTTTCCAGCAACTTTGAGTACACTATTTGCTCGATTAAGACTATACAAAACGTTGCTAGCATACGACAGAAGGATGCCCAACGTTTCGTAAATTATAACTTACCTATGCAAAAATTATCAGATCATCGAGCAGCCCACACAATCAAGAATACTTTTTTCTATTACATGTCCAGGAGGTTGTATGAACTTTCAGATCGAGCACTTTGCTTTTCCAATAGCCTATGTCGTATCGACGACATCCTAATGATGATAAGCTTTAGACGCGTAATTTCCAAATCTGTGATATTAGCAGTTGAAATACTTCCCTGCCCTCCGGTTCGCAAAAAACAGCATTGAGTATCCTAAAATACTTGAATTACCTAATCACTATACTGAGCCTTACAATCATGTGACGTTATCTTTGGATAAGGAAATCACCATTCATGTTTGGTACCATCTATCTATGAGAATATTCCTAATCTTGAAATAAAATCGTATATCAACGATTTTCTCTAATAGCTCAGACTTAACCATATAGTCACGCCAACCAAAAGCCATATGATACAATCGTCCATCAAAATACCTTCGGATTCACAAAAAAACAGCACTGAGTCTCCCAAAATACTTGAATTTACTAAACCCTGCTAGATCGGTCTTCCGTGCAGAATAAATACACTTCTACCCTACGATTCACAAGAAACCAGCACTGAGTCTCCCAAAATACTTGAATTTACTAAACACTGCTAGATCGGTCTTCCATGCAGAATACTCTTCTACCATACGATTCACAAGAAACCAGCACTGAGTCTCCCAAAATACTCGAATTAACTAAACACTGGTGGATCAATCTCCCATGAAGAATACTCTTCAATACGCAAACCAGTGCTGAGTCCTCCACAATACCCGAACTAGCTGAATGGCGTACGTCTGACGTCAGATCGGTCTCCCGATCATTTTAATTCCAGTCAATAAAGCGCGTGCGCCCGGGGATAGGGTTTGTCGGTTTGTCTAAGATCTGAGAATTCATTTTATTGGCACCAATCGTGCTGGAAGGACGTTCAAATCTGTTGTGTATTCAAGAGTGTGTCTGAAAGGACTGTTGAGGTAAGTATGACTTTTTGAACTCTTATGCAATCGTTAATAGGATATGATGGTAATATAACTGTATTACTTACATTTAATGGAAAAGCAATGAATATTGAGTAGCGTGAAGGATAAAACAATGCTGTTCAAAAGGTCAACCCCCATAAATTTTACGCCAAACTTTATCTAATCTTGTTGGTTTAGTTTTGTATAGGTGATTCTTGAATGTAAAGCTACAATGTTTTTTTTTTCAAGTTAAAGAACAGGGTCAAGTAGATTGAGTGTGACCATACATCACTGAAAATTTAAAAATAGAATACTTCAATCAAAGCTCATTTTGGCTTTTTTCTAGCTGCTGCTTTACATCTTTTTTAGGGTACATACCTGTATATGTACTGATTCCGTTTTTTGCATTATAATACAAAATCACTACAGACTGTGCTTTTGACTCACGGTGTCAAGTAGCTCGACTTTATATGTAGACAATGATAATTTTAAACGGGAGATTGTGTTGATTATTTCCTATATGGTACAGTAGCGGGGTGATAAAATTCTAAATCTAAAATTGCAAATCAGAGATATCATGTTTTACTTCCCACGTCAACGGTCGAGGAAGTATTGTAATCGCAAGATATTTTGAAAGTGAGGTATTATGTTTTGTTGGATGCTATATGACATGTAGATCACGGAAAACCATGATACTCATTTCTGCTATAACGTGGAAAGTACCATTGGGACTTTGATGAAATTTAGACACAAGGTTGCTACGAGGCTATGGACAAGAAAGCTTTAGCTTTTAAAAATAGGTCCAGTGGCGTCAGAGAAAAGGGCCACAAACGAAAAAATAGAAATCGCTCAAACTTTGTTTTTTGACGATTCAGGGGCTCTTGATCATTATCCAAATAAATTTTGAGGGTTAGGAGTTGATGAGGGAGTGAATCGTAATTTCCTAAGGTTTTCTATCGGATCTATTTGACATATCTGACTTTATCAAACATTTGCGTAGAAAACAGGAAATCATACCTATTTCCTGTATCTGTACACTCAAAAATTTCTAGTGTTAATGCATGGATATAGTGTTTAATGATAACACATTACGTATTATTGAGTTTGGTAAAATTTCGAACATCATTCACTGGTATTGCTACTAGAATCAATTAAAAATAAAGTATTTTACTTTGACAATCAACATATACTATTGCTGCACGGAAAAAAATGGCTTGTGGATGTCAGTTCATTGGGAAAAAAGCTAATGACAAAAATTACTCTAATATAATTGGCTTTTTGACATTTTTGAGAGCACTCTTATCAAATATCTTTTCACTAAAAACAAGCATGTTGTATTCTTCCTGAAGATAGTCGATATTGTATATCTATTATTTTTTGGAATGGTATTATTTCTCTAAGTTGAAACGGAATAATTACAAAACAATATATTTGAACTTTTCCAGGGAAAGCCTTTCAATATGAGCAAAAATTGGTTTTGTAACAGAGGTCTATCACCTATCACACAGCATCCAAGAGATGAAGAAAAAGATAAGACTTCTGAAACAGTGATTACTGATTCACGTAAGGTGTCATCTGTGGTTAAACAAAACAGCGACCACAGTGACTGCAACTCGGTAAAACATAAGTATGTTTTTTTTGGTAGAGTTCCCATATTTATGATTTATTCTAGGTAATATCTTCTACATCCCCCAAGATATGCTGTACACCCCCATCATCATCAATATCCGGTTTATCAGAAAATGTTCATTGCAGTAACTTGTGCAAGGACTCTGAGGTAATAATCATTCACTGCCTAGTCTGTGAACTTTTTTATTCTATTGAACCTTTTTCAGTACAACGTTACCTCGAATAACGAGAGCATAGTGGAAGATCCAGACCACCAAAGTGAATCTAGCTCGGTAAAGCAATATTATGTATTCTTTATGAAACATGTCTGATATATGTCATTCATTTCAGTTCATATCTCTTACTTCGCCTAATATATGCTGCACACCACCATCATCTTCTGTAATTTCTGATGCAGAAGATGAAGATTATAGTCCCCACACTAGTGAAGAGGCTGAGGTAAATATATTACTATTATTCTACTCAAGTACCCATTGAAAAATTTGGATTGGGTGGAGTTGTGTAGCCAATCCGATATTTTAATTTTGTAATTTTACAATTTTAATATTTTTCAACTTTCAAATTTTTTGATTTTTCGACTTTCCAATTAATAACTATAACATCTTTTCCATCAAAACGTTGCTATGTGAGGGGAATCTATGATGTTTAGAATGTGTCAAATAGATTGCGAAGAATTACTAGGGATGGAAGTGTATCATTAAACTAAATAAAAAAGAGATATACCCGTCCCACCCTCTACAACCTCCAACTCGCTAATTTTCCACCACAAATTTTTTTCTCAAAAATGATCAGTATCTGAAACAATAAAAAACGAAGTTTATGAGATTTCTTTTTTTGTTTTTAACTTTTTCTCCGCCGGCACTGGAACGCTCTTAAAAACTATATAGGTAGCTTTTCTGTCCCTGGTCTAGTGGTAACCTTCCCCCTCAAGTAATCAAGGACTCGACACAGCAGCAGA